GATTAATTTTTAAAATTAAATTAGATTTCACTAATTTGATATTTAGAAAAAAAAAATAGATATTCAAAAATTATACGGAGAGTACTATAAATTGCAATATTTTGCACATCAATATGATGAAAAAATACGTCATAAAATATTAGTCAAAATTCTTATAGTTTGGCTCTAAAAAGAGAAACCGTGACAATTAAAAATGAACAAAGATAGTAATAGTTTTTATATTATAAAATCAATAACAACAACAACACGATATATATTCGGTAATTGAGTCAGAATTTTCACTACTAAAATTTAAAATACGAAAAAGAAAGATATAAAGAAGTCGAAAGGATCAGGTTCAAACATCTATCTTACTTGGCTCCGCTCATAAAAATATCCAGTGCATTTCCATAAAATAGCAGTTGAGAAAAGTAGAGTGCATGCAAATCTTAGTACCTCAAAAGTAGAGACTAAAAGTAACTTGATGGCGTGACTTGTTTTTCTGATTCACTATATCGATGTATATAACTTAAACTCAAAACTAAACTAAAGTCATTTCTCCACCAACTAATATTACTACTATAAGAAAATTTTCCACAGCAAACATCACCACTCTCTTTTTCTGTTTCAACACTTAATAATAGCCTCCCTCTCCCACCCCTTTTTTTTTTAACTTTCTCAAACTACAAGAGATGTTGAAAAAAAATCACAACACAACACTATTAATTTATTTGCTTCTTGTGATTTTGGTGGTTGATCATAATGATCACCATGCTAATGCAGTAAAAAACTCACAAGTTGTTAATGTTAAGCCCTTATTACCTAATAATAACAATTCCAAATCATCATTTTCTCAATCTTTGCCAAAAGGGGTCCCTATTCCACCTTCTGCTCCTTCCAAAAGGCACAATCAAATCAATATATGAAGACCATGAAGAAATTATTGAAGGGAAAATTATTATAAATTTCCTTTTAATATATGTTGTGAGGATTATTTTGAAGATGCCTCCAATTGTACATGGTTCACTAGTGAGTATACATTTTCATATATTATATGATCTTATATTTTTGTGGAATTATTGATTACTTCTCTTAAGTTTTGTAAAGAGAAGCTATTTATAACCCATTGATATTTTTTAAAGTTGTGGTCCTTTATATCTTGGGTTTCTTTGTGTGTTAAGTTGTAGATCAATTCATCATGACCCATTTTGTATGACTATGAAATGATATATTATCAATAACACTAGAATTTAACCTAATTTATAGTTGTATTTTGAATAAATTATTTGTGTATATTAAGTGAAATTTCTTAATTAACACAAATGGAATATCTTGATTCTTGGCTAAAGTTACTGAATTCCACTAAACCTATTTCTAGCTAGGTTCCGCGGCCTATCTTTTGTTCTCTCATGCATGAATTTTTTTATTTTATCTTTATTTATTTTATTTTAAAATTTCTTGCTTATATATGATTATTCTCCTCCTCAATTTCTTCATTAATTATTTCAACTGTGAACATGAAAATTTAGTACTAACACGGAATCAAGGTCTCTAACAAACTGTTAAGAAGTGGGAGAAAACCCAACTACTATTTGACTTCTTCTTTAACAAAACAGAAGAACAAGTCATGAAATGTGTTTCGCTTGGGCCAGGTGGATTTGTGTGTGTCGGGGGTTTCCAAAAATAAAATAATATCAACAATAGTGGCATAATCAGGATTTTTTCACTAAGAAGATTCAAAATATGAAAAGTAAATACACGAAAAAATTAAAGGAAGTACAATATTTACTATATATACATAAAAAATAATTTAAATTATATATAAATAGTGTAATTTTTCATTAAAAAAAAAGGTTAAGATGAAACCTCATTGGTCGATCCTACCAAGCTCCTCCCTGTATATCAGTCTCCAGAATTTGAGAAAATTATGATTTTTAAATGCTTAATTAATTCCACGAGTCAATATCTACTTGACAAAACTCCGGAAATAAAAAATATTTAAGTTGAAAATCCCTTTATATTTAAAAATTAACTCATCATACGTCACACTTCTATGAGATAGTAGAATTAGTCTCAAAAGGGAAGATCATGAGATTTGAAATGTTTTTTCAGTTATACAAAATTACTACTATACGTAAGTGCCAGTTTAGAAGGACAAATGTGGGTAAATTTTTTGCATTATTTCAAGTTACATAATGCTACATTTAGTTGTACGAGTAGCTATTGAAGTAGTACATTTTTCAATGTTGCAGACTATTATCTGTTATTGAATTTTATTGACATAATTAAGAAAGTTTGTTTTGGATTTTTTCTAGTATTTAAATTTCTGGCTTCGTCTCTGATTATAACTAATGGTAAAATCTCATATTTTGCCTCTTTTGAAATACTTGTGTCAAAAGTCATTCAATAAAAAATAGATGTCAAAGGCCGTTCAATAAAAGATTGAAATTTGGTTTTATAAAGACTCAAATTTTCAAGATGGTTGGTACATTGTACATACCACACATAGTATAATGTCTTTGCTTGCTTACGAAACTTCTGTTGAAACGTTCAATGTGGACTTTGTAGCTCAATTTATAACCTAATTAACAAAATAAATGCATACATGCCTCAAATAAAATTAGACCAATGAAATGATATACTTCATTTGTTCTTTTTTAGTTGTCATAGTTTTTTTTTTTAAGAATCAAACGATATAAATTTTGGCTAATATTTTAAGATGTATTTTTTCATCATATTGATATAAAAAACTTCAATTTATAGTACTTTCCGTATAACTTTTGAATATCTAAGTTTTATTTTAAAATATCGAATAAATGTAATCTAATTAAGCTTTGCAAATTAGTCAAATTGACTCTCGAAAAATGCAACATGACAACTAAAAAGAAATGGAGAAAGTACTTTGATCAATTTTTTTGTTTTTTAAATATTGTTTGAGTAAAATAAAAGTGTTATGATGAGTTTACAATTTGTTGAAGTAAAATGCTTAAAAATTAGTTTAATTTAAAAGCATTTCAAATAAATCGATCTAAATAGACTAAGTCAATGTTAAGAATTCAAGATTTGGGTAACTACTAGTCCGACGTATAAGAGTGTTGTATCTTTTACTTGCGAAATTTTGAGATTTTGCTACCAATAAAGCAAATCTTTGGAGTAAATTAATGTTCTCTCACCTAGTGGATAAACTTTGAGAAATAGATTTTAGAAGTTTCAATCTGTTCGTTTAATTTTATTTGTTCAATATTGACATGCTATATTCTTAAGAATTAATGATAAATAAAATAATAATTTTACTATATTATCTTTGAATATAATAAATCCAATGCTATAGAAAATAACTATTGTTAATAATAATAATAATAATAATAATAATAAATTAGGAGCTATAAATGAATATATATGTTTAGTATAATGGATAAATAAAAATGTACGATGAAAGTACTAAAGATCAAGATTGAATGGCCTGCCTAGTGAATATTCCAAAGGTTACACCTAGGCAACGTAAAAAAGGTCCGATACTTCAACTAAAAGAGTGATCAACTGGTTCATCAAACTCTGACCCAACGTCACACATTTTTCAAATCTGAAGGGAAATATTAGTTTAAATTGATTCATTTCTGATTTATTGAATTGATATGAAAGTTGGAACAGGGAGAAAATTACGAAAATAGACTTATTTGACTAACATGTTGACCTAGCAATTGGAATTAATTAATTAAGTAGAACATGACAAGCAAAAAACACTTAAAATAAACAAAACAATTGAAATGTACTTAAAGCTATCATTTTCAGTTGATAGTTAATGTTGTTTATTTGGGTAACAAATAACAGATGGTCATTAATGAGGACATGTGGGAGCTACGAGAACTGTAAATACAAAACTTGAAAATCAAGTACCAACAACTTATAAACTGTTTATATATAGTATACGATTGACTTAGAATTCAATAACATTTGACCATTTTGCACCTTCTTATACTTTTTTTTTTTTAAAAAAAATCTATATTTTTTTAATCCTAAGCTTTTGAAAGTGGATCAATCCACCATCATAGATTGTAGCATTTAATTGTAAATATTAGTTTACGATGCTTATGAGTTTTTCTTTTCGAGAGGGGAATAATGTGTGTCATCAGTTGATGAGAATTCTCACCAGACGGAGATATCTTAGGTGATGCAAAACATATTTCTTCCAACACTAATAAAGGTGTATTTGTATAACTATAGACTAAGATTTACAAAAGGATAAATTAATAAGCTAACGGGCTAATTAACATAAGATTATCCTCCAAGTTGAAGAATATTATGAAAGATCTCTCTATATAGTCTAAAAGTACAGTAGAATATAAACGCAATCTAGAATCAAAATGTAGCCATTTTTCATCAATTTATTTAAACCAGAATTAAGGAAGTTTTAGTTCCAAAAATCATTATGCTTTCTGCCAATTCGTTAGGCTGGATTTACTTATTTATGTATTACTTATTTCATCCGTGGACCCTTTTAGAATTCCAAGAAAATATATATATATATATATATATATATATATATATATATATATTATCTTTGACCCAATTAACAACATTGAAACACAAGTCAATAGAGTGTATGCAAGTTCAATATAAAAAATGGAGAGATAAAGTCAAGTATAACATGAAATTTACTACTGACCTAATTTAGAGCCTGTTTAACCATGTTTAGAACTTATATAAACTTAAAAAGAAATGTTTTAAAATACTTTTTATTTTGTTCAAACAGTACAAAATGCTCGCTTAAAAACACCTAAAATAAATCAATCTACTTAATATGTGATTATATTTCATGTTACACATGCACAACACCAAGAAGTAGCTAAAAGTAACATAACTACTCATAAGAAGTTGCTACTTTAAGAGTAATAGTATTATTTATCAGTAGCAACCACAAATGTATATTGAACATGAATGTGCTAATAGCTTCTATTATATAGCAATATATATACCAGTAATTAATTATATACACTTAGCCTATCTATCTATTTATATAGTTATAGCTTCAACCTCAAATCCAACGCTGAACCCGAATAAGCAGACGAATAAGACGACGAAGAATCGTATTGATCTTCATTATGACCTGAGATTAATGTAACTGGAGGAGGAAAATTTAGATCCAAATTAGTATTAACAGCTTGTGTTAATCCTGAAGTACCTGAACCTGATGCAAAACAACCCTTCACATTTTTATGACTCGCTCTGTGTCCACCTAATGCCTGGTGTGATCCAAAAACCTTCTTACAACCCGAACACTCGAATCGAAATTCCTTCCCTCCACCTCCGCCTGAAGAAGAACAAGGTTGATCTTCATGATCAGGTAATTCATCAGATTTTGATGATCCACTAGCCAATTGCAACAAGCATGATGCAATCTCCTGATCCTCTTCGGTCATAATCGCATCAAAAACCGATTTGGGGTTTTTTCTAGGGCTAATTTCACCAAAATCATGAGATTCAACAATACTAACATCGTGGCGCGGCCTGATGTTAGGAGGAGGGTTAATACCACGCCATTGACGTTCAGGATGACAACGCATATGACCAAAAAGTGCTTTCCATGACCAAAACTTTTTGCCGCATTCCGTACAAGGCCGAGTAATTTTTGGCGCAGTTGGGTCTGGTGGCTTTTTGGTAATTTTAGGCGAAGAAGAAGAAGTAGCATCACCACCAATTTTAAGAAATCTACTTCTTTTCCTTTTTGGATTACTGTGCAAATTATCGACTGTTGGATGATGAACAGGTTTTTCTTCATGGCGTTCTACGTGGTCAATAAGAAAATTGTTAGAAAAAGGTTGATGATAACAATGGGAAGTAGTACTAGTGGTAGGATGATTTTCCATGACTAAATTTGGGCGAAAAAGTTGAAAAAAAGGGTTTGATTTGTTATATGTAGAGACAGTTTTTTGTGAGAGAGAAGCGGTTACTTAGCTTCACATGTGTATAGTGTTAGAGAAGAAGTGGGAGCAGTTATTTATTTAATTTAATTAAGAGAGTTTTAGGGTTACTTTTTGTGCAAGGATGAGAAGAAGATGGAAAATGGATAAGCACGTCTTCTAAGCATTTTCAAACACACGGTGAAAATATAACTGCTTTTCAACAATCCTTAAATGACACGAAGCATCACAACATGCTACGTTCACTTTGGATTTTATACATCTCTTTAAAAAAATGTTATTATTTGTATAAAATTTTTTGGGTCATGAAACTATATAAAATATTTAAATGTAATTATTAGTATAGATTTTTTTATAAAGTAGGAAGTAGAGTGAAGAGTTTTTATTTCTCTGAAAGGATATTGAGTGATATTCACATATCAAGTATAATATAATGAAGAAAATCCATTTATTTATAACAGAAAATTGATTTGGTGTCTAAGTAGAATTCCTATATTTTTGCAAATGAATCTACATAACATATAGATTCACTATAAGACAGATATGATAATAACAATTTTATCATAATTATTCATGTTATTTTTTGCAAATGAATCTACGTAACAGACATTCACTATAATACAGATATATTAATAACAATTATATCATAATATTCATGTTAATTAATGTATATTCTTAGCTCTTGTGAAATTATTTGAAAAATAAATAATTAACATTGATTTTTATAATTGTTAAATAATTAATATTGAGATAAAATATGGAGAGAGAAAAAATTTCTCTTAATATAAATAAATATATGTTTTTAATAAAGTGGATAAATAAAAGTGACTAAAGGAGTAAATAAAAACAAAATTAGTGATAATCGAATTTACTTTATCTTCAGCTTTATCTACGTTGCTTGCTAGTTGCTTGTCACATTCTTGTGAAAGATAAATTTTGAGTTACATCGATAAAATTTTAAAAGAATTACACCATCAATCAACTTTTATTTTCTTCTTTTCCCCCCTAAATTAGGGTAGAGGATCGGAAAATATGTGAGAATTGAACCTCCATTTGATAAGGCTAAAATTCAGATAGCCTATCAATCGAATTATTAAGTTACTCCACTATCAATCACTTTTTTCTTACTTATAGACTTGTTGTAGTAGATAATTTGACTTATTATTATAGATATTATAAATCATTATTTATGTATATTTTATAAATAACATGATAATATAAAAAAATATTTATAATACACTCGTATATTGGTTAACTTCTATTTCATTTCTTTAAAGACTCTTTCCACATTAGAGTTCAACTAAATCAGGATTCACGCTGAAAAGTCCCACATTATGGATAAAACGTTCCCTAACAAAGATGACATTGCACGCAAAGGAATTTGAACTCGAAACCTCTAGTCAAGATACTCTTAGGCCTTACCTTTCACAGTTAAAGATCGAGGGTTCAAACTCATCAGTAGTAGCATAGCATCCCTTTCCAGTTCCCATAAACCAATGAAATAAAAATAAAATAGAAAAGAACATTGAAACAAATTATAATCTAGAAAAATATTAACCAGACTCGTTTTTCTCATCAATGCACTGTTTCATAATCTGCAATTAATGTAATAAGGAAATGGGCATCAAGAATCCCAGATTAAGGGTGTTTTGAGTACGAAGGTACCATCTTTTTTATGAAGAATATTCTTGCAAAGAGGATTTTTCACTTATTTTTTGTATTCGTAAACAAAAAATATTATCCTAAAAATATTTATATTTAACCTAAATAAATACTATAAATTGTGGGGTAGAGATGTGATGAAAATGAGGTGTATTTAAGGACAAGAAGCGCACAATCAAAATATAGTGTTCATTTTCTTCATTTTTAAGGACTTATTTTCCTAAAAAAAGAAGTCCAAAAATTAACATGAAAAATTGAAAACTATAATAGTTGTTGAGATCTTCCAACCTCATCATAGCCACTGTATTATCGAAAGAATATACTGTTTGTGATAATTTCAAATATTTGATGTTTTAACAAGATGTGGCAAATATTGATAAGTTACAAGATATTGAGCTGAACAACATTGTTCAGTAACCTTTTAACAATCTACAATCTACATATATCAATATATTTACAAACCCCTCAAATTGATAAAAATTACCAACCACACCACCAGCCACAATTGAGACGTTCAAGCCCTGTTGAAGTTGAAGAAGCTATTTTGAGATTGCCCTGAGACAGTTTGGTTACTTGCAGGCGAACGGGGAATGTGTGGCTGCTGATGTTGTGCATGAAGATTACCGCATTGAACGAAGGACTGTGGTTGGGGAGGTAAATGAGGACGCATTCCCCTGTTTCCATTTGCAGATGGAAGTTGGCCGGCTTCAATCTTAAGCCGCTGCAGCTCTTCCCTCAACGTATCATTTAGAGCTGAAATTTATTCGCATATGCTTCAGTACTATAGCTCTATACTTCAATATCATTTTCATATATCTAGACATTTGTGTATCACATATCATATACTAAGCAAGCTAGGATAAGACGTGGAGAAACAAATAATAGTACTGAAGAATACGAGAGTTGACAAGTCCGTAGAAAGGGGAAGAACGTAAAACCTTGCAAGCCAATGATGTTAGTATAGTATATGCAATAATATTTTTGAGAAATTTCCCCCCTATAAGAGGATCTTTATCATAGAGGGGGGAGCAAATTACATTTTCTGGTTCTTTTCGAAGAATTGTTTAGAGAAAGAATAATGATCACTCCAGAACTACTAGACTGATACAAAGAGTTGAAAATAGAAACCTATTCATAGGGGTTGTTTGGTAGAATGTATAAGAATAACTCTAAATTGAGTGTATTAGTAATGCTTGCATTAATTATACATGCATTATTTCTTAAGCATTGTTCGGTTTGATGTATTAAAAATAGCATGCATTACATTAAAAATATTTATCTATAAAGATATCCTTCACAATTAAGGTGGAAAAGATGTAAAAAAAACTTTTGAGAGGAAATGTGGTCTTTCATCATGTCCCTTACATTACTAATACCTAAAAATCCATGGTATTAGTAATACACTCCTTAACACACAATAGAGTGTATAACTAATGCAAGTACTAGTTATACATAACATGAAAAAGTGTACCAAACAAGATATTACCTATACATAGAGTTAATTCATGCATTATTTTTGTTAATACACTCTACCAAACGACCCCGTAGGTAACAAAAGATTTTGAACGTAGAGGTGTGTACTCAATATAAAGAGCTGAAAATTGAAACGTACATTCAAACTCAACAAAAGTTAGATATATTCATATAGGAAGAGCACAACTCTAAACCCACCATATATAGATATAAAATTATTGAAAAAAACGTCTCCTCTGATATGGGTATAAATGGTTGTGTAGATGTGTGAAAGAGTGAGGAAGAACTTCTGGGCATCAAGGATGAAGAAAGAGTTGGTGAGAAACACAAAGAGGTAATGACAAATAGCAGAAAGGAGAAGATACAGATAGGAACGCTTAAAGAGTGACAGTAATATAAACTTATTAAAAATAGCATTAGGTTTACCACTCTTATTAGGTGGTACAGTGAAATCATATATTAGATTGAAGAAAACATAATAAGAATGTATCTCAAAACTCCGTTTTTTGGAGGATACTTTATGACCATCTATTATAACTTATACGAGTGAAAGTTCATATCTAGTAAAGGACATACCATCTCTAAGGTGTGCTTGTTGTTCCAAAGCTTGCAACCGAAATTTCAGTTCTTTGTTTTCAGCATTTAGTCCAGAAGTGTCTCTCTGCATCAACATCCAAAATTGAGCGAAAATGAGTATGACAGATTGACGATTCAAAATTCTACATGTTTTACTTTGTGGAAATGACCCACTGTTGGTGTTACCAACAATGTGTTGGCACTTGGCAATTGTTAATCTCTTGAGAATGTTCCCCCCAGCAATATACTTATAGTGCAAGCGAATACACATGAAGATAACCAAATATAATGGAAAAGGCTGTTATGCACAAAGAAAAACTCTACATCATGTGAAAGTACCCTATTATATGTTAGTCCTAGAAAAGAAAATACAAGTAAAAGGATTGAAAAGCACCATTAAGTCATCCCCAATAGAAAGAGACAAAAATGAAGTAGAATGGTACAGAGCTATCACGGACAATCAATAGGTCAATGGAAGCTTTTCTAGTACAAACTAGAGTGAGACACATGATGCTGTTAAGTTAAATTCATACTCACCCTTGATTACAAGAGAAGAAAACAGAAAGTAAGAATAGCATACTGATGCATTGTTAACAAGTGCAATGGTTCCCACTAAAGTGTTAGTATTAGTAGCCACAAGGATTTCTTCCTCTGAACTGGAAAATATGCTAGACCAAAAATATACCGAGGAATAATTAATTTATGATGACTATCCTAGACAAGAAAGATTCACTGAGGCATGCTTCCACTTAGAAACACCAGATTGCAAGACAGACTAGTGGGCAAAAATGAAACGGAATAGCTAAAACCTTTTTCCATTATCATAAAAAAAGTTATCCACTTCCCAGGAGGGCCAAGACAGAACTGTAAGTAACTAGCTTTTCGGATTACCCACAAACTTACAAATTGCAGTGAACTAGGCATAGGGAGATATTTGAACAGCAAAATATTTGACAAGTCTGGAACCAAAACAACAACAAAATTGACCAAAAATTCCAAAAGGGCAAACAACTTACGGAGGAAACCAAAAAGGTAAAGGCGCATGGGCCCACACACCTTATCCTTTATGCCGTTAACAGACAAAAAGAGAAAGGCGCCTAACAACTTGCACCTTCCACTGACAAAGAAGAAAGGAGCATGACATTTTGTGCATGTCAAACTTCCTTTCCCCTTTTTCATTCTTTAGTTATTTTAACATTCTTTTATACTTGCAGTTATTTGAACATTCTTTCCAA